AAAAGCTGCAATTGACAAAAGATAAGTATCACACTCTAAAAACTGGCTGTCCAACTATTGCAATAAGAAATTTAGCTTAGAAGATAGGCATTACAAATCAAATTCTATTCCCAGTGCCAATGCAAATCCACAGGACCATGACTGACCTCAGTCAAATTATTATGGATTTACACAGCTATGAAAGCATACACTGACCCAGTAATCTTTCTTAACACCATAAAATTACTGTACATTTGGAAAAATATGTTGCCAAATATTAAAAGTTGTATTAAGTTTATTTGTATGTTTTATTGTTTCAAGTACACATTTTAAGTGCACATATATGCTAACATTTTAAAACATTCAGAAACATTCTGACATTAATATGCTTTAATTATGTCAGGGTACTTTTAGGCAGCCTGTCCACTTACGCTAATTTTACAAGTGTCAAATAAAACACCAGTAGACCTGATTTTTCTAGGGCAATATAGAGTCAGAATCATAACTCCATACACAAAATCTGCTTGGAGTAAAACCAATGCAAATCTCATTACTGTAACAGAGTAAATCATAACAAATACCTTAGTTGCGTTAAACTTAAATTTATGCCAATGTAAATGAGAAAAGCCAAACTGGTAAATTGCAGAACAAGACAGTCTGTTTTGATATAGACTCCCCTATACCATGATCAATCTTATTAGAAAAGAACAAATAAACGGGCCAATTCCTGGATCTAACAAAGGCGAGTTCTAGAGAGAAACATGCAGGAGTGAGGGGGCACACCAAGATGACACTTTACGAGCGCTCGTGGTGCTTGGGCCAGATGCCAGATGATTGGAAGATAGCCAATGTGGTCCCCATCTTTAAAAAAGGGAAGAGGGAGGACCCGGGCAACTATAGGCCCGTCAGTCTTACCTCAATCTGGGGAAGCTCTTTGAGAAGATCATCAAGGAGCACATCTGTGATGGGCCAGCATCGGGGATGATGCTCAAGGGCAACCAGCACGGTTTCATTAGGGGCAGGTCATGTCAGACCAACTTGATTGCCTTTTACGATCAGGTCATAAAAGCACTGGATGCAGGTGTCGTTGTGGATGTAGTCTTTCTGGACTTCAGCAAGGCCTTTGACACTGTCGACCACCCCATCCTCATTAAAAAACTAGGCGACTGTGGCATTGATGTCTACACAGTCAGATGGATTGTAAATTGGCTGAAGGGTTGTATTCAGAGGGTGGTGGTGGATGGGTCATATTTGACCTGGGGGAAGTGGGCAGCGGAGTCCCGCAGGGCTTGGTCCTTGGGCCCAAGCTGTTCAATTTCTTTATCAGCAATGTGGACGATGGGGTGAAAAGCAACCTGTTTAAATTTGCTGATGATACCAAAATTTGGGGTGAGGTGGGCACACTAGTAGGGAGGGAAAGACTGCAGCAAGGCCTGGATAGGTTGCAGGGGTGGGCTAACAAAAACAGGATGCGTTTCAATACTGACAAGTGCAGGGTCCTGCACTTGGGCAGTAGTAACCAGCAGCACACTTATAAGATGGGAAACTCCCTTCTTGAGAGCACAGAGGCAGAAAGGGATCTTGGAGTCATTACTGACTCCAAGATGAACATGGGCTGACAATGCGAGGTCACGGTCGGCAGGGCCAACCAGACCCTATCATGCATCCACAGGTGCATCTCAAGTAGGGCCAAGGAGGTGATCCTCCCCCTCTACACGACACTGGTCAGGCCACAGCTGGAGTACTGTGTCCAGTTCTGGGCACCCCACTTCAAGAGGGATGTGGACAATATTGAGAGGGTCCAGAGGAGGGCCACCCGTATGATCCGGGGACAGCAGGGCAGACCCTACAAAGAGAGGCTACAGCACCTGAACCTGTTCAGCCTTCACAAGAGAAGGCTGAGGGGGGACCTGGTGACCGTCTATAAACTCACTAGGGGGGACCAGAAGAGTTTGGGGGAGACCTTCTTTCCCCTAGCGCCCCCCGGGATAACAAGGAACAACAGCCACAAGTTGTTGGAGAGTAGGTTTAGATCAGACATCTGTAAGAACTACTTCACAGTTAGGGCGGCTAGGATCTGGAACCAACTTCCAAGGGAAGTGGTGCTGGCTCCTACCCTGGGGGTCTTTAAGAAGAGGCTTGATGCCTACCTGGCTGGGGTCATTTGAGCCCAGTTTTCCTCCTGCCCGGGCAGAGGGGTCAGACTTGAAGATCTACAAGGTCCCTTCCGACCCTACTTCTATGATTCTATGACATGCTCCTCCAGGCTGAGTCTGCCAGGAGCCTTAGAACTAACTAATAATTAGCCCCAAAAGGAACCACTACACCAGCCAAGGAAGGATCAGGGCAGATCTGCTCATACCCTTTCCTCCACAGACTCTGTGCTGAAGAGCCAGGCTGGGGATGCATAGCGCTAACAGAACCAAAGGAAATCTCAGCTGCTTAGTTAGGGCAGTTACGCAGTCTCTTTGCACTGCTGAAGCATCGCCCAGCATCGGGGCCAAGGAATGGATCAACATCTCCCATATCATAAAAGAAAGCAAACAAGGCACAATTGCATGAAGCCTGCCTTTTGGTGCCATCTAGTGGGAACAAAATGAACTATTTCTACTTTAAACCAGGTTTGCTCTTGTTACATTCTTACTAAAATTATACAGCCATGTATTATTCTCACATTCTTTTACTTTAAACCAGGTTTACTCTTCTCACATTTTTTGACTAGAAATATACGCCACATCAGACTCCTCATTCAGCACTGTATTGAACTGCCCAGAAATATATAAACACTTTTGTGTGCACATGTGTGTGCGTGCGTGTGTAATATCTCTCTCCCCTAGGTTATGCACAACAATTAATATACCCAATAATTTCACAGTTGTATTGTTACATTGTAGTGGTCAGACTCAATGATTCATTGAGGTCCCTTCCAACCCTAGCATCTATGAATCTACAGACACACACACAGGGCAGAGACTCCCTATGCCTGAAGAAGGGTGACTGCACCCGAAAGCTTGCTAAGAACTTTTTTCCAACGACTCGGTTCATCTAATAAAAGATATCATATCTACTCAAAGAACCTTGCCTACCTATACCCTAGGATATGCTTTTTGTTACAACTCGGTTGCATAGCGTTAGGTACCTAATCCCATGGGTGGACGCAGGATACAGATTGACTGGCAAAAGGATCCAAACTATATTGTGGAGGGACTCATTAGCTGACCTGTTCTGCTAGAATCTTGTATAACACTTACTTAGCAAACCAAACATTTCATATTCTGTCAAACAGCCATAAAAGCTTTAAAAAAAAAATCCAATATCAAAATATACTTATTCACAATGAAGAGTTATCATCTTGGATTCAAGTAAATAAGGTATTCATATTGGAGTAGCGCCCAGAGCAGTGATTCTCAACCAGGGGGTTGTAGCAATCTGGGGTGCCTTGAGAGCCTTTCAGGTGCTGCAGGATGCCACATAATGTTAACACCAGAGATGCACCAATATATTGGTGGTATATCAGATCAGCACCGATAAAAGGAAAATTAACGTTATTGGCAATCAGCTTTTTTTGGTTGGTGTAGCCGATGTCATCAATAAATGCTGCATGCATGCACATAGCCACAGCATGCATGCAGCCAGGAATGCAGCCCGGCAGCTTGGAGAGCAGCATCTGGCCATTAAGTCTGTAGGAAGGAAGGGACAGGGGAAGGGAAGGGGCATGGGGGGGGGGGGGGGGGCCAGATGTGGGAGAGGCTCCCAGTGTGGGAGAGAGTGAGGCAGGGGCAGGCGCTGCCCAGCCAGGGCAGTGAATGTGACCCCAGGAGCGAGGTGGAGCTGTGGATGGCTTGTTTGGTGACACAGGAGGGGGTGGTGGCTCTCATCCGCTGTGCATACCCCCAGGGGAGGCATGGGGGTCATGTGCCCTCCCAGATTTGCATGTGGGCTTAGGGGGGCTGTGTGCTGTGGGCTCAGGGCCAGGGGCTGCGCTGGCCTCTTCATAGTGGGGGGGACTGGGCCGGGACTGTGCTCAGGGCGGGTAGTGGCAGTGCTGGGAGGGGCAGCTATGGAGCCACCCCAAAATTTTCCCTAGCTCTCCCTCCCAGTGCCACCACCACCTGCCTGCCCCCACCTGCCCCAAGCTCAGCCCTGGCCCAGTCCCCCCACCAGGAAGAGGCCAGTGCAGCCCCTAGCCCCAACCTCACCTCACGCACAAATCCTATGCTCACCCCACGCACAAATCCAGGGGGCACATGCCCCCCATGCCTCCTCGGGGG